AGGCGGGCGCCTAGGCGGATTCTAGGCGGGCACCAAAAAAATTAAAAAAAATAGTAACAGACTTGTAGTTCGACAATTTTAATGAGGTTGTTTTCAACGTTCACTCAAATAACACATCTAAATAAATGAAATAATGATAAATTATAAGTCATAATGTCATAATAATATTAAAATCAATAATTAATGAAAGACGACATCGGTCAAAATCGAACAAAATCGGTCAAAAACGATCAAAATCGGACAAAATCGGTCGACTCGGCCGAGTTGGCCGAGTTTGGCCGCCCAGGCCGCCTAGGCGGCCGGCCGAGTTTTGGCCAAAACTCCAAGGCTCGGGGCCGCCTAGCGCCTAGGCGGCCGAGTTTTGCAACCTTGCCCATGAGTACATGGGACTGATCATAGCCTTATAATTTTGAAGATCTAGGGTTGTAATTAAATCCCACATAATATCTGAATCTCAAGACTCCGGCGTGTTATTATTGGCTTAATGTCACTGGCCAGTCACACAACACATACTTAATATATACACACACATCATAATACGTAATATGCAGACACGCGTTTTTAATCACCCAACTAATCTCATCCATAGATATATTTTTTAATGGATGAGATTAGTTCTCGTGAATTCATGGGATCTAATCCATAGATATATTTTTTAATGGATGAAATTAGTTCTCGTGAATTCAGGGGGAGGTTGGTTCTCATAAAAACTCATTAATATATATATATATATATATATATATATATGTATATATATATGTATGTATTTATGTATGTATAGGGTTGCATTCACATGCAAACACTCTTAAAATACAAACATGTGGACATATACTGTGCACACACCTAAATGCGGGTGTGCACACATCCGTGGACGACAATGCACACATCCAATATAGTATGCATGTGTGAATCCACAATATTTGGGCAGGCGTGCACACGTCCATGAACGACAAAATTATAAAAACTAATCACAACCTTAGATACCCAAAATCTAGCGATCCAGAATTGTCCACACGTTTGTATTTTAAACACTGTTTTTACATGAATGTAATTATATATATATATATATATATATATATATATATATATATATATATATATACTAGTATTTTTATGCGCGATGCGCAAAAAATAAGTGACCAATATTAATACATTATATTAAATTTTTTAATTTATTTAGATTTTAGATATTTAAACTATTCTAAATAATAATAATAATAATAATAATAATAATAATAATAATAATAATAATGTAAATCATTTTTATAAATTTGATATTTATATTTATGTAATAATTAACATATAACTCAAATATTTAATGTGTATATATTATAATTAATGAAGAAGAGATATATATATATATATATATATATATATATATATATATATATATATTCTTTAATTAAAATGATAATGACCTCTTCATGACAAAATGTTATATGTAGTACATGCATTCTATATTACTATTATACATATTCCTGGTCAATGATTGATGGAAAAACAGCAATTACTGTGCATGACCTCCCTAGTCCTACCTTCTATTTTCTACTGAATTCAGATATGGATTATATTAAGGATCGACCGACAATATAGTTGTAGAAAATTAAATCTATATAAAAAGAATTGGAGAGTGAGATAGTATCTAAATATATTGGCCCTGTTTGGTAAATGCTGTTAGCTGATAGTTGTTAGATATTAGCTGATTGGTATAATTTTTTATTCTCAAAAAGCTAATTGAAAAAATTGTTTTAAGTATCTTTTTAAATTTTAGCATTTTTGTGTTACAAAAAGCTAATTAACCAAACATATATATTAATTTTTTAACTAAGTCATTTAGTTAATAGTGATCAAATAAGTCAAAATTGATCTATAAACAAACTATGTTATCAAATATGGCCATTAATTGTATGTACGCCAATTGATAAATATGTGTTACAATGTTAATACAATGTTTTACTTCTCTAAAATTATAAACGTAATTATTTGAATTATTCTGATCTTCATGTTCACTTGTGAAATTAATAATAATAATAATAATAATAATAATAATAATAATAATAATAATAATCATTCATAAAAGACTAAGTAAACACTAATACATTTATATGTTCAATTATACCTTGGAATTTAAAAAAAGAAAAAGTTTTATATAAACAGTTGATAAGTATTTGGGAATGTCATTTGGCCTCGTGATCTCATGTTAGTTAGGGCAATTCAATAGGTTGTTGGAGGATAATGAGGATACCTTAACATCAAAGTTCATTACTTCATTGTTGTTGAAGCACTATTTTGGGATCAGAAGTTCCATAATCGTATCAGAGTTGATATTGTATTTGCGATGAAATTGCTAGCAATATTTAGTGCTCCTTCTACGATGAAAATAGTGCTTAACATATCCTTCGGTATCTTCGAGACACAAAGGCTTACATTTATGTGAGAAATCAAGATTTGGTTTTTGATTGGCTACTTAGGTACTTGCTATTTTGTTTGATCCTCGTGATGACAAGTCCCAAACTTGTTTTACTATGAATTACCACTAATGTCCTAAATGAGGACAATAATACTTGTCTTCGTGGTTGCAGTAGGCGCTAGGCGTTAGTCGGGCGCCCGGACAGCGCCTAGCCCCTAGGCGGTCTAGGCGGCGCGCCTAGGCGGAATCTAGGCGGGCGCCAAAAAAACAGTAGTAGACTTGCAGTTTGACAATTTTAATGAGGTTGTTTTCAACATTTAATCAAATAACACATCCAAATAAATGAATTAATGATAATTCATAAGTCATAACATCAAAACAATGGTTTTCAAAAAAAAAAAACATTAAAACAATATTAAAAATTAAAAATACTCAAATATGAAATACTCAAATACTTCAATCATCCAAAGATTCAAAGTATCAAACTAGTCTACGAGTGTATATATGTCATATTATATATATGTATGCGCGCGCGCACACACACACACATATATATAATAAAAAAAAATAGGCCAAGCCGATCGGGTTGACTCGACCGGAATGGACGAGTTAACTCGACTAACTTAGACGCTATGCGGCCAAATCGGCCAAGTTAGGCGCTAGGCGAACGCCTAGGGGGGAAATCGCCACAGTCTAGAGGCGCCTAGCGCCTAGGCGGGCGCCTAGACCAATTTTTACAACCCTGCTTGTCTTGCACAAATGATAAATGAGTACGTTTATGAATATTTGACAAAGTATATGTAGTGTTAAAACTCACAAGATTATTATACAAAATATTTACTCTAGTGACAATCCAGCAGATTTGTTCACAAAGTCCCTTACTACACTTATTTTTGGAAATATGTCTTTATGTGTAGGATTTGAAGATCATTATTTTCAAGGGGAGTGTCATTTACTTGAATTAATCCTAGAGATTTGGTCTTGAAAACCAACAACTGTCCTCTTTTTCTTTTGATTAAGTTTTAATATAATGTTGTTTTCTTGATTAAAGGTTTTTTTTTTTTCTTTTTTTTTAACGAGACAGCTAGTGCAACACATCAATGAATACATGTTTATGTACTATTTTCCTCAACTAGGTTTTTCCATTGAATTTTTCTTGGGAGGTTTTTAATGAGGCATGAGTATAATATAGTAATGTCCCGGGGGGAGTGCTGTGAATAAATATATGTGGGCATTACTATAGGGGTATTATACTATGATAATACCTCTATATCATTAATTTGTAGTATTGTAGTTATACTAAAACTCTGTATATCTTGTATATATTATACTAAATGATGATTAATAAAAGATCAATGATTCTCTCTGTCTCTAGTCTCTCTTTATTTTGCTTTATTCATATTACTTTTCTGCAATTGAGATGATACAACAGTTCACGCGAGGATACATCCAATTTCACAACAATTTAATTGATTTTATATATATATATATATATATATATATATATATATATATATATATATATATATGTTCTAACCTTAATTTTGAGAGCCCTTTACCCCATTTTCTGACATGAGGATTGTAAGAGGAGGTAAATCACAAAAAATGTATCAATAAGGCATGATTTGAGTGCTTGCAACTTGCAAGGGAGGATTTGAAATCAAATATTTACTAAATTATTACACTCACAATTAACCTTTTGATCATTAAATTATGTACAAGACATTAAATTATTATATATATGTATACACATTGATGTGTGCATGATTTTGGTGGCCCCTATTATTGATTGGGTTGACAAGGACATTCCTCTTGCTTCATGTCTCAGCTGGGCGGCATGCCATGTTACGTTCTTCATCTTCTCATTAAAGCCACACAAAATTAAATAAAGTCGGCAGCACATGTATGTAGTTCATCGCGCATAATCTTTCAAGTGTGTATTTTTTTGTATATTTTTCATATTATTACATTCAAAGAAAATATATTTAGTACATATATTTGAGTAATGAGTACGAGTTTTAATTTTATTGTTATCTAAAAAAATTAATGTCCCAACACAGTGCATGTACAATTAGCAAAGCTTGAGATTATGTTGTAATTCACCTCGGCTTGTAGCCTTGTACTAATGTACTGTACTGTGAATCTCTGATTATTATATATAATATTTTATTATAAATATAATAATAATAATTAGATAATTGAAATAATCATATCATTAAATACGCTTTTTCTGTTTTGTATTATTATTATTATTATTTTAGAAGACCACCAGGCATATTACATCATTACATGTGCGGACTGCATTGTGCAGTCAGGTCGGCAGAAACACGCAAATATAACGGAATACAATTCTCCTTATGATTATGTGTATCTAAAGGTGATGTGAGAATAATGAGAATAAATTTAGGCCATTCATGAAATTTATATTTATATAAAAAATGAAGTCACATATTTTTGCAAATATGTAAAAGAGTTAATTTAAAGATTGGTTTTTGACTATTGACTTTATTTCAAATTTAATTCTTTGATTAAATATTCGTCTAATACGCTTTAAATTTATGGGTAAGAAGGTAAAAGTTAGTTAGCAGAATCACCTATTCCCATTTGCATATTTAAGGATTTTGAAACAAATGATATAATTACATAGAGTTATTAGTAACTTGGTTCAAATTGACTTATGCATCAGCTTGTTCTTTATATTCTCACTAATAATACTAATAATGAATATAATGTATGATGTTTATGAACCCAATTTGTCATCTCAGTAACGTGTCAATTTTTACATTCATACCCTTAATGCGGTGTTTGGTGCACATGAATTGCAACTCAATTTCTTTGCAATTCCAAGACTCAATTAATTTTCTCATTCCTCCACCCCACCCCCCTGAATTGGAATTCCAATGCATTTCCGCTACTCATGGAAAAGGAAAAAAGTGTGTATTGACAAATTTACCCATTATTATTATTATTATTACTTGTATTTTCACCCGTGCGTTGCACGGAATAAATTTGTTATAATATTTTAAATATATTTAAATCGATATACAATTGTATAAATTATAACATCGAATCTATATATAATACAATTGAAGGATTGAGTTGGAACAATTATTTTTTCTGATGTTATCATTGATTGAATTCGAACAAATAACTGCCGAATTAATAGCTAATGTCTAGATGTACGCAATTATGTTTTCCAATGTTTTCATTTTGGGGGAAAAAATAATACATAATATCATCGATTGTATTTACACATTACTGAAAATCTCTCTGTAAACAACATTAGTAGTCGCAACACAATCATGTCCATCATTGTCTAAAGCTAACACCTTCAGGCCATCAAGATGGGTGACTCGGGAGAAAGCCACGTACAATTGTCCGTGATTAAAGACCGATTTTTTAAGCAATAACCCAACATGAGTTAGTGTTTGGCCTTGGCTTTTGTTGATAGTCATGGCATATGCAAGCATCAACGGGAATTGTTTACGCTGGAACTTGAAAGGCAATCTTGTATCAGAAGGAGTGAGGTACATTCGAGCGATAAGAACTTTGGTTCATTGATGTGTCCCATTAACTATTCTTGCTTCAACAATGTGATCTGCCAATCTTGTGATGATGAGCCGTGTCCCGTTATAAAGACCAAGAGAGTGGTCTATGTTCCGCAATAACATAACAGGTGCACCGACCTTTAATGTTAATGAATGATTAGGAACACCGACAATCTCAAACTATTTAAGAATTCAGGAGTGTGTACTTCTGATAGATTTTCACCGTATGATTCTGCCTTACACAAAGAGTCACAACTTAAATATGTTCGACCTTCTGCAGTGTTCATGTCGCACATGTACTGATTAATTTGATCAACGACATCTAAAGTCGGTGAGAGGATCGCTCGGCCTTCTAGGTGCGACTCATCAAGTATGTCATATCTCGCGCTTGGGAAGGTGCTTTCCACTGTAGTTGCTATGGGATCGGGTCCACACTTCAATAGAAACCGTGCTGGAATATCGATCTCTGATAAACCGTCGTTTTCAACTCCTGTAATCCCATCCCCGATGTCTGCAATCCATTTTGAAAACCAATCAACCGTCTGTCTATCTTCATCTGAAGCTAAGCTCCGTAATCTCAAGTTCTTCGTGAGCCTCAATATCTTGCAATTTGTCCAGCGGTATGAAGAATTAATTGTTGCTCCGACAACTACTGGTCTTGTTTCTTTCGGAATAACTGGAAGAATTTGTCTAAAATCACCGCCCAAAACTACTGTCTTTCCATCAAATATCTTTTCAGCACTACCTGGTATGGCAAACCTCAATAGATCCCTCATGGTTTTGTCCAAAGCCTCAAAACAGTGTTTGTGCGTCATCGGTGCTTCATCCCATATTATCAATTTGCTCCTTATTATAAGTTCAGCAAGGTCACTGCCTTGCGATATATTGCATGTGGAATCTTCATTCAATGAAAGTGGTATAGCAAATCTGGAATGCGATGTCCTGCCTCCCGGCAAAAGCAAAGATGCTATTCCACTTGAAGCAACGTTGAGAACAATATCTCCACGGCTCCTTATCTTTGAGGATAACGTTCTCCACAAAAATGTCTTGCATGTTCCTCCGTAACCATACACAAAGAACAATCCACCTCCATTAGAATAAATATCATTCATCACAGAGTCATAAACATTCTTTTGCTCGTCCGTCAATTTTGTTACCAACGTTTCATGCTCTGTTTTCAACAATTCATTGTCATACGCCAACTCTTCGGCTATCAACATATTTTCTATCAAACCCATGTTACTTTCATCTGGAATTGGCATTTCTGGAAAGTCTCTAAGGCTCTTCCCCCACGAAGATAACAAATTCTCCAACTCCACCAGAGCGAACTGTTTCTTATCCGAATCCGATAACACCAACTCTTCATAGTCCAAAAAAGAAACAAAATAAAAATCAACAAATGCATTTATTTATAAATAATGATGAGCAAATAACAAAGTTGAATAAATAGATTGGAGGCCAACAATATATATTAGTTACCACACACTAATCTATACTAATATGAATACGAATATTAATTAATTGGTAAAAAAAATGTAATAAAGCTTAATTGTTAACAAAATTTTATATGAAAATTAACTAATTAGAGAATTGGAAAAAGAATTATTTAATTAATGATATGGAAAAAGAATTTTGTTGGGATTTTAATGAATTGGAAAAAAAATTAGTTAATTAATGATATGGAAAATTACAACAAAATTCTAATATATTAGTTAATTTTCATATAAAATTGTAGTCAATATATACTGTAAATAAATTTTGTAATTCAAATGTGATTCTAATATATTATTACTTACCGTACACTAATATATACTAATATGAATATTAATTAATTGGTAAAAAATTAATAAAACTTAATTGGTAACAAATTTTTTTTATGAAAATTAAATAATATCTAATGAATTGGAAAAAGAATTTCGTTGAATTATCATTTTCCCTTTTTAAGTACATATTGACTTAAATTTGTGGTATTAATTCATTAGATATTCATATTAGTATATATTGACTAATATATTACAAAATTTAACCAAAAAAAGAAAAAGGAATAAAAAAGAACAACTTAGTTATTTATAAATAATGAAAAACAAATAACAAAGTCGAATAAATAGATTGGAGCTCGATATACCTGGATTCTGCATGACACGACGTCGCTGAACCTGTGCATCCTCGGCAAGAAATTCTCAAACGGCATTCTAAACTACTTCTGGCTTACTGAGTGAATTTGAAGTGAGAAGTGTAGCAAATAACCTTCGCAAAGCATACGTGGATGCCCAGTAACTCGAATCAGTAATGCCGTCAATGTACTCCTTGTCATCATCTAATAATCCATATTCATAACACGCATCCCTAAACGAATTATGAATGACCCCTGCAACAGTGTGAAAATCCTTATGGCTAAAAGGTCCACGTACCAAATTTAAAAGACATCTAAGATAATATAATTCTCCACACTACGGTCAAATAGATGGAGGACCAAATCGTGTCAAAATTGTAAAGTTAAGGACTTAATTGGTTGAAATTGAAAGTCGAGGACCAATTTGTGAATTTAGCTATAGTCGAGGGACCATTTTAGGTATTTACTCATGAAAAAGATATGGTGGTTTATATATAACGATTCATGGAGAGAATTTGACCCAAAAAATTATGAAATGATTAATATGTCCTTCAACAATTTGGAAATTCAAAATAAATTGTTAATGATAACAAAATTTGAGTAATGGATTAAATTAACTATCACTTTCAACATAATTAAAGGAAAAATTTGTATATGATAATAATTTATGGATTGTGTCTACAATTTATGTATAATTAATAGACTAAAATCGCGATTTTCTCTAAAAAATAACATTGTTTTAGTAAAAACTAATATCATCTTTTTAATTCGGCGAAAATTAAATAAAAGATGCTATGACATTTTTATAAATATGTTGAACTTTTTCTCGTATAGTGAAAAAGAATACTCTTAATTATGAAGTTAATATATATAAAGCACGGATAAGGTTTTTAAAAATCTGTTTCAATTAATGTCCAAGGTGGGCAAAAAAATTAGAAATCCTAAAAAGATCGAAGCTAATTTCCAACCACAGGGAAAAGATAGCTAAACTAGTAGGAAAATTTAGGTATACAATTCAAATTTTGAATTTTTAATCTTTTTTCATATTCATATTTCGTAACTTTGTCAAACTGCTAGATCTCAGTGTTGCATTATGTTTACTTCTCAATGATCTCTCATCCTATGACTGGGCTATCAGCAGGTTGTCATTGGACTTGGCCCTCGACTTTCGCCGAACCATCGATTTGAACTCGTGACTTTGGCTCTGATATCAATTGTTGGATCTCAACGCTGCACAATGTTTGTCAAGCACACTTAATCACAGAGTATTTTGGTTATCTGATTGTCATATCCTATTCAAAATCAATTGGTGATAAGTAAGTGGACATTAACCAAATTACTCGCATCCCTCCATGATAAGCCACAACACGTCAACACCACGTCTCTAATCGAGCAAGAGCTGAACTCGGCCAATCCGTTGACGCCCAACACAAACTAGACCCCATGAATCACTATTAAGCTATGAGGAGGTAAATTAAATCAATATAACTTAACGACTCAATATCAAACTGTATACTTTTACGCACAAGTAATTCAACCCAAACGTAAACTTTGATATTCGTGACAAGAGATAAAGTGACTAAATTTTTTGACCACAAAAAAATGATTTGGCAATACTAACCACTTTGGTAGTTGATAATAATGAGAAATGATTGTGAGAATGGCAAAAGCAACTAGAAACACAACTTTCAAGCAAAAAAGTCTTGATTTATAACCACTTCAAAACAGTCAACAATTTAAAACTGTTTAATGATAAGAAATAACTTTTCAAAAAAACGTTATTAGTTACATATATAAAACTTCAAATTAAACACTCCAAATTAAATCATATTCAAGTTCCATATTTTATATCCAACCAGATGCAATGAACACAATAATATCAAATAATAGAATGCGTCCATATATATATACACAACAACAAGAATTAATCACAAGTGTCGGTTCAAAAAAAAAATGATGATATGATATTATGGAGTTTGGCAAAATTGCAAGTCGGCAAACCCCCAAAAATGGGGTCCCGAAAATGATGAACATATAACGACTTGCCAAATTTGCAAGTCGGCCAACCCGAGTGGTACCCCAACTTTCCAAAACCTTCCTGAGAGAAACACCTTTCTGTCATTTCGACAAAAAGGGAAACTATTCTCTTCAGACACAATTATTACTAGGTTCGATCGTACCTGCGGCCTCTTCTGCTCTGCCTTTTCTTCTTTATCTACCTGTCCATGGTCGTTAGAGTATCCACATTAGTTGATTCTCGTTGTGAATTTTAAGGAGTTTTTATAAATGTGATTGAGAAAGGGAATCTGGGAGGAAGAAAAAAAAAAAAATAGTGTCAGGAACGCAGTCAGCGCGCCTGACACGCCCAGCTGGTGCGTGCGTTGGGCACCATTGTGACAGCCACGCAAGACTGTCACAATGCTTATTTCTTTGGTGGGTTTCACTTCTCTCCTATTCTTCCCAACCCTTGCAGATGAACCCCTTCCCTCTCTCTCCTACATTATCTATCATATTTGGCATCCACTTTTCTGACATTATCCTTCAAATCTCCTTTGATAATGTTACTCTTAGAATATATTCATTAGACATAGTTTTTAAAGAATTTTTATAGAGGTGACTAGGATAAAGAATATTGAAAAGAGAAGGAAAAGAAGAAGAAAAAACTAACAAAGGAAATAACGGGCCCAGTGAGCGCATGGTGTGCACATGCTCAACATGTCGGACTGAACGTTTTAGTTGTGCCTCATGCGAATCAGCACGATCTTTCTCATATTTGATGGATCCACTTTCAAATGAAAACCAGGGTTCTTGTAGGAAAACTTCAAACATTCTCTCTCATATTTCTCTCTCTTCCACTTATGCTTTGTCCCCACAAAAAACTACCTAAAAATTATTTATTGTGGATATCCCTAATTGATAGATAGATAAACATTCATTTACCTAATAAGCAGCATGCATGTGTTAGTTTATATGGTAATTTGTAATTAGCTGCGCCCACTCTCATTATTCATATATGCATCTACCTAGCTTATATTTTTTTTCATAATTTGTTGCGAGCATAATTTTTGGTACCTTAATAATTGATGATCAACTTAATGCATGTAAGCAATTAATCAACGTATATATTATTCCCAAAAAGGTTAAATCTCCAACCCTAAGGGCTCCTCAGGTTTTGGTCGACAGAATATTTGGGAGAATGTAAATAATGATAACTTAGCTTAACACAAAAGCTAAGCTAGATATTTGCTTATTGCGGGCGTACAAGGTACCTCTATCACTTCGAGAGGTTGCTCTCACATTGTCATTGGTGAGACTCTTAATCAATGTATATATGCATATAGATGTGGTAGACGTTAACTCACTACACTTTAGGCGTAATCTCCTTTTGAGGACGTTTAAGTAGCTTAGTTGTTTGTCATTATTCAATCAGAACTCCCTTCGAGTTACGACGTTGTTGTAGAATCAATTGGAGCAGATTGAGAATTGAAATAAAATTCTTGAGTTCAAATCAATAAAATAAAATCGCTACACATTTTTGTAAATAAATATTAATTCTCAGTTATCAACTAAACATATTCATTTTTCAGTCCTTAAAAAAAATTATAGTTCTGCCCATGTTTGTATGAGAACTTTTATGATACTTGTGTAGGCACAGTATTTTATGTTTACATGCAATGTCTCTTACATTATTAGTTGGTAATGATATTTCGGCGTTTATTCTGAACTGCCTTAATAATCGGATCTTCCCCTCTAACCTGAACAATACGGATGTGGTGCTCATCCCGAAGAAGAAAACCCCTGAAGTGGTAGCAGATTTTCGCCCAATAGCTTTGAGTAATGTGATCTACAGGATAATGGCGAAGATGATTACACAGAGAATGAAGCCTTTGATGGAGAGTATAATATCGGGCTCACAGAGTGCTTTTATTCCGGACAGGCTGATTACTGATAATATTCTTGTAGCTGCTGAGGTGGGGCATTTCTTGAATAGAAAGCAGTGTGGGACTGTAGGATGGGGTGCACTCAAACTTGATATGGCCAAAGTCTATGACCGTATGGAATGGCCCTTCCTCCGTGGGATGCTGTTAGCCCTGGGCTTTGATAGTAGGTGGATTGAGTTGATTATGTTATGTGTCACTACTGTGTCATATAACTTTATGATAAATGGCTCCCGTAGCTCCTCCATTACGCCCACGCGTGGTCTCCGCCAGGGGGATCCGTTATCCCCTTACTTGTTTATTATATGTGCAGAAGGGTTGTCAGTTTTATTGCAACGAGCGCAGGAGAGAGGATTAATACATGGTTGCAGGGTTGCTAGAGGGGCACCTCCGATCTCTCACTTATTTTTTGCAGATGATAGCCTACTATTTTTCAGAGCAAATATACAGGAAGCATCTGAGATAAAAAATTGTTTGTTATTATATGAGAGTTTATCTGGCCAGAAAGTAAATTATCATAAATCCAGTATATGTTACAGCAGAAATACAGGACAGAATGATAGGGATGTGGTAGCACAAATACTAGGTGTTACTCAAGCTCCAAATTTTGGGAAATACCTAGGACTACCCTCCTTTGTGGGCAGGAACAAGAAGGCTACATTTGCATATATAGAGGATAAAATCAAGCAAAGGAGGGCCCGAAACGGAGCGGTATGGGATGCCTGTCTACCAAGGCCAACGAAATTATTGTCAATTGCAGCGGCCACAATGAAAGCATGGAAGGATATTCACCATCGTGCCCCGTCACAGCCCTGAACGGCCGGCCGCCTCCTTACTGCCGAACAGCAACAACTGACGCCGCTTGGACCGAACGCCGAAACTGCCGAGAATGGACTGCCCCCGCAGCATGCCACCGCTCCGAAATCCGCAATTGGCGAGATGATGACACCCGTCAAATGCTACATGGACGTGAGTTATCATCGAGGAACCAATGCTGCAGCTGTTGGTGCAGTACTCCTCGATGCCAATGGCCGCTACATATCTGCTTTCAGCGCCCCGTTAACAGGTTGCCACTCACCGCTCATGGCCGAGACATTGGCATGCAAAGAGGTATTATCATGGCTTAAAAGGAGGAATGAACTATCTATACAGATTCATACGGATTGTCAACAGCTACAGTGCTACTTATCTGGGCCACCAGCCACATCACGCTCGTATTTAGGTTATGCTATCGATAGTTGCAGAACCTATATATCTACCTTTACTTATTGTTCAGTAATTTATATTCCTAGATTACAGAATTTATTAGCTCATACATTAGCTACTTCAGCACTTAGTTTCGCTACTGCTATGTACTGGGACAATGTTCCACCAGACTCTATTTTAACTCTTCTATAAATACAACCGCCAGGTTGACTTTCAAAAAAAACAAGGGTTCGTTATTTGGGCATCAAATTCTTTAGAACATTCACATTAGGCATAGATTTTGAGAGATTTTTGTCAAATTACAAGGAAAGATGAGATAACGAACAAAAAAAAAAAAAAAAAAAAACAATCAGAGGAGGAAAAAAAAAATATAAGCTTTTACGCATCATTTGAGCACGCAAATTGTGCTGAACGCGCGAACATTGATCTCTCATTTTCTCCACACAGGCCCCACATATTCAATCCAAAACTGTACCACACCTCTTGCAAGGATCTCTCCCCTACTTCTCTTACTTCCACATAATATACAATGCATCAAAAATTCTAACGGGAATGCTCTTAGTAATTATATATAAAACTCATCATTAGCCTTAGCTTTTCATTCTCTAATTTTGAACAAATGGCTTAATGACCAATCAAAAATGAGAAAGAAAAAAAATGAAAAGGTCATTCATTACCCATGCATTAAACATGGAACATTAATATTAATACTCAGTTTAATCATCGATTATAGTAATTTTTTCGATTTAACTAGTTATAAATAATTTTTTGTGCTTAATTAGGTCATCGACTTTGATGGTTTATACAATTGAGTCCCCTATTAAGATAACTTGGTAATTTCACCTATATTAATACTTAATTTAGTCATTTACTATAACCCAAATTAGTCTTCGACTATAGACGTTTTACCCAATTTAATCCCTAACTCTAGTAATTTTTCTTGATTTAGTCATTAATTCTAACAACTGAGGATTCAATTACAAAATCGTTGAAGTCGAGGACATAATTAAGTACAAAAAGTAATTTAAGACTAAATAAAAAAAAATTACTATAGTCAATAACTAAATTGTATATTAATTCTATATACACATATACGCATATGTGTATATATATGTATTATATATATACTCCGTATTTTTATATCTGTATTTATTTTTATGTTAATTATTTATTTTTCTTGATTTCAATTCTTATTTATAATTACCAAATAAAGAGAAAATATACTTAAATTCATTATCATTATTAAATATTTGATTCTAATTATCATTTTGATTCTAAATTTTTAATGTTTAAACCAAACTCTCCAAGGTGAAGTGTGCAGTGGTACGTGGTGCATGTGCAAGCGTACGTTGGACACGGTGCAATGTAAAAATTTCTAATGTTTAAACCAAACTCTCCAAGGTGAAGTGTGCAGTGGTACGTGGTTCATGTGCAAGCATACGTTGGACACGGTGCAATGTAAATATGTAATTAAGCAGCATGCATGCAGTCTCCTGCAAATACCAACAAGCCACTACCATCCAACGCTGCAACCAACCACCATATTAATTATATTTGCCTCTCTCTCTCTCTCTCTCTCTCTCTCTCTCTATATATATATATATATATATATATATATATGTAGTGGATGGTTCACATGCGAAACTTCTCTCAGGTAAAAAATAAGGTGAGATAACGAGGAAATTTTTTTAAAAAAATACGTTTCATGGCAATTACATGGATGCAAATGATCAAGTGTTTCGAATTGATGCATCTTAAGCTTCAAACTTATATGCACCTTAAGCTGTAACATAATGCACTTTAAGCTTTAAACATATGCACCTTAAGAGTTAAATTATTGCACCTTAAACTAGAAAGTGACACACATTAAACATTAAACATACGCACCTTAAGCTTTAAGGTACACACCTTAAGCTATAAACTTATGCACCTTAAACTTTAAACTTAAGCACCTTAAGCTTTAAACATAGACACCTAAAGTTATTATAAACTTAGGCACTTTAAACTTTAAACTTAAGCACCTTAAACTTTAACCATAGACACCTAATGCACCTTAACCTGAAAAATAATATACCTAATTAAG